TCCATTGATACTGTTAGAATTTAGGTGTGACTTGAATTCCTTGTTTAAATAATTGAAGAATTCTAATTGAAGTGCATCGTCAAGAAAAATTCAATTTGGAATACTATTGAAATCCTATGTCAAATTGAAATTTTATTATGGAAGCACATTGAGAGTTAAAATTGGTATTGGACTTAAAGAAGAGATCGGGATGAAGAAAACAATTTTGGAACAAAAAAAAAAAAAAAAATTCAGTACGTCGCGACACCAATCTCGATGCAGGTCCCAATGCTAGGGCGCCTGAAGGTGGGCTCCACGGCATCACCTTATCTATTTGGGTTTTTCGCGTTTTCTTTTATTTTTATTTTTGGATTTGATTTTTTTACATCCTACTTCATCATCAACTCTACCAGGAGAGTTTGAATGTCTCCTACATATTCTGTACAAATATTAGGCTATTCTATATAATTTCATAAGCGTGAGAAAAAAGATTACCAGAATTTTAGGATCAATTGTATATTTCTACATTATTATTGGTGTAATAAAATCTCTTAATTCATCTGTCATTTTTTTTTTTTTTTGTTCTTTTGCTTGTAATCAAANTTTATTTGTCATTTTTTTTTTTTTTTGTTCTTTTGCTTGTAATCAAATACTTCACTATTATGTCATATAATTTCAACATTTTAATCTGATGGTTGGTTTCATAACAAGTGGTATCAGAGCGATAGTAGTATCTTGTTTGTTTACAACAGATACCACATCACGCCCATAAATTGGCCCAAGGGATAAAACAATTGAAGCACAAAAATTCATTGAGCCAAGCCAACTTGTAAGGTTCTCTTTATTTTTTTTTACAGTTTTACCTTTATTTCCACATTTTATTGAGGAAATCATCATTTTGATCAATTTTTTTCAATTAAAAGCTATTAAATGACTGATATACACTCATATTTAAACACAACAAAAATAAAAAATAAAAAAATAAAGAACTAATTACAACAATAGTCCCAAATTTTCAAAAAATTACAAATGAGTCACAAGTATATAATTAAAAAAAAAAAAAAA